TCTATCTATCTATCTATCTATCTATCTATCTATCTATCTATCTATCTATCTATCTATCTATCTATCTATCTATCTATCTATCTATCTATCTATCTATCTATCTATCTATCTATCTATCTATCTATCTATCTATCTATCTATCTATCTATCTATCTATCTATCTATCTATCTATCTATCTATCTATCTATCTATCTATCTATCTATCTATCTATCTATCTATCTATCTATCTATCTATCTATCTATCTATCTATCTATCTATCTATCTATCTATCTATCTATCTATCTATCTATCTATCTATCTATCTATCTATCTATCTATCTATCTATCTATCTATCTATCTATCTATCTATCTATCTATCTATCTATCTATCTATCTATCTATCTATCTATCTATCTATCTATCTATCTATCTATCTATCTATCTATCTATCTATCTATCTATCTATCTATCTATCTATCTATCTATCTATCTATCTATCTATCTATCTATCTATCTATCTATCTATCTATCTATCTATCTATCTATCTATCTATCTATCTATCTATCTATCTATCTATCTATCTATCTATCTATCTATCTATCTATCTATCTATCTATCTATCTATCTATCTATCTATCTATCTATCTATCTATCTATCTATCTATCTATCTATCTATCTATCTATCTATCTATCTATCTATCTATCTATCTATCTATCTATCTATCTATCTTTTTTTTTTTTCTCCAGGGCTCTCTGGGTGCAAGTCCCTGTTTACCCACTAAACCTCACCTCATATCCCTACCTTCCTTTTCTGGAATCGCTCTCGCATTACTTCGGAAAAGGAGATTGTCTTTGCATGCCTATCTTTTGTTATCACATGGTTACATGGTTATCGTTAGCAGTCGTTCGTCTAATGCTTTCTGCTTCATTATCCCTTGTATCATTTCTGCTATTGCATTCCAGTTTTCTTCAGTGCGAAGCAGAAGTTCCGCCACGTTGTCTGTTGTAATCTCCGTTCCGCATTTTACGGTTGCAATTCTTCTTAATTCTGTCCATCTGGCACACTCAAATATTGTATGCATTGCTGTATCATTCATATTCTCGCAGTACCAGCAGTTACTGTTTTGGGCTTTTTTTATTCTTAGTAGGTATTTTCCAAATATGCCGTGATCAGTTAATGCCTCGGTTAGGTAGTAATCTACCTCGCCCCATTTTCTTTCATGCCATCTTCTTACATCTCGTATAAAGGTTTTTGTCCAGTTGTCGGTATTGTCCCAGATATTCTGCCATTTTCTCATGGCTAGTATTCTTGCTTCCATTTTGTAAGCGCTTCCCCTTTCATATACGTCTATTCTTTCTTCAACACTCAGTTTAATTGGTAATCTATCTATCTATCTATCTATCTATCTATCTATCTATCTATCTATCTATCTATCTATCTATCTATCTATCTATCTATCTATCTATCTATCTATCTATCTATCTATCTATCTATCTATCTATCTATCTATCTATCTATCTATCTATCTATCTATCTATCTATCTATCTATCTATCTATCTATCTATCTATCTATCTATCTATCTATCTATCTATCTATCTATCTATCTATCTATCTATCTATCTATCTATCTATCTATCTATCTATCTATCTATCTATCTATCTATCTATCTATCTATCTATCTATCTATCTATCTATCTATCTATCTATCTATCTATCTATCTATCTATCTATCTATCTATCTATCTATCTATCTATCTATCTATCTATCTATCTATCTATCTATCTATCTATCTATCTATCTATCTATCTATCTATCTATCTATCTATCTTTTTTTTTTTTTTTTTTTTTTTGTCGGGTGAGGAACATTTTATATGCCGGCCCCTGCGCTTGGGATCTGATGTTAAATCTATCGCGACAGGGAGTGTGGGACTCCAGGGCTCTCTGGGTGCAAGTCCCTGTTTACCCACTAAACCTCACCTCATATCCCTACCTTCCTTTTCTGGAATCGCTCTCGCATTACTTCGGAAAAGGAGGTTGTCTTTGCATGCCTATCTTTTGTTATCACATGGTTACATGGTTATCGTTAGCAGTCGTTCGTCTAATGCTTTCTGCTTCATTATCCCTTGTATCATTTCTGCTATTGCATTCCAGTTTTCTTCAGTGCGAAGCAGAAGTTCCGCCACGTTGTCTGTTGTAATCTCCGTTCCGCATTTTACGGTTGCAATTCTTCTTAATTCTGTCCATCTGGCACACTCAAAGATTGTATGCATTGCTGTATCATTCATATTCTCGCAGTACCAGCAGTTACTGTTTTGGGCTTTTTTTATTCTTAGTAGGTATTTTCCAAATATGCCGTGACCAGTTAATGCCTGGGTCAGGTAGTAATCTACCTCGCCCCATTTTCTTTTATGCCATCTTCTTACATCTCGTATAAAGGTTTTTGTCCAGTTGTCGGTATTGTCCCAGATATTCTGCCATTTTCTCATGACTAGTATTCTTGCTTCCATTATGTAAGCGCTTCCCCTTTCATATACGTCTATTCTTTCTTCAACACTCAGTTTGATTGGTAGAATTCCCGCTATAACCAGTATTGCTTGCGTAGGTACTGTTCTATAGGCTGATGTTATTCGTATTGCCATTTTCCTGTTGATTCTTTCTAGTATATTTTCGTATTTTTTGAATTTAAGCGCTATGCTCCATATAGGTGCACCGTATAGAATTATTGACGTCGTTGCTGTCATCAAAACCTTTCTCTTGCTAGATCTAGGTCCCCCTACATTAGCTGTAATTCTTGTCAAATCATTTAAGACTTTGTTGGCTTTTTCGCAGGTCTTTATAATGTGGGTTTTCATTGTCATTCCAGCATCTATGTGTACGCCCATATACTTTATGTCCTGCTTGATACCGATTTCTTTTCCATCTACATTAAGTTGCAGATCTGAGATTCTTCTTTCTCCTGCCAACGCTACCGATTCCGTTTTTGTCACCTCTACTTTGAGTCCTAGCTCCGTTAGTTCATCAATGATTTGTTCAACAGCATATTGTGCAGTCGTCTCCAATAGGTCTCTAGTTTTTGTTTTTATAATAATTACAAGGTCATCTGCATAGGCTATTAGTTTTACTGCTTTACCACAGTCCATTCTTAAAATTTGATCATAAAATACATTCCAAAGAATAGGCCCCAGGACTGAGCCTTGTGGTACTCCTGATGTAATCTGAACTAGTTCCCCGTCTTCTTTCTGTATGTATCTGTTTTCAAAATAAGACTGTATTAACCTTATTAAATAGCGAGAGATTCCGTGTCTTGTTAGAGCTCGCAGAATTTCCTTCCATGGAGCTGAGTTGAAAGCGTTTTCTATATCAACTGTTACCATCACACAACAAGCCTCCTGTTTTCGCGCCATTTCCCTCATTTCTTTAACTTCTTTCAGTGCTGTTATTGCTGACTTTCCCTTTCTATAGCCATGCTGATTGTCTGATAATACGTTCTTTTCTTCAAACTCTTTTTCCAACCGTTCTTTTATTAGCTTTTCTAGTAGCTTACCAAATGTATCTATAAGACATATCGGCCTATATTTGACAGGAGCCTCTGGTTCTTTCTGGGGTTTCGGTATGAGCACTAGCCTTGCGATTTTCCATTTATTTGGAAATATACCTTGTGAAAGACATGCATTCATTACCCTCTTAATGATTTCTGGATTAGCTTCAATAACTGCTTTTAAAATTTCGTTTGGTATATTATCTGGCCCTGGTGCTTTTTTTGGTTTTAAGGATTTTGCTGTTTCCTCTATTTCATTTATTGTAAATTCCTGTATTTCTTCTAGGAGTCTCTGTTCTGGCCACTCGATTATCGGATGTTTTGGAAATAGCCTAGCTATTTCAAGTTTTGTTTCTTCCTTCGTCGGGGCTACTAGTGATTTGAGTTTTATTTTATTGGTAACTATTTTATAAGCTTTTCCCCAGATATCCCTGTCTAAGTCGGCACAAAGCGTCTTCCAGCATGCTCTCTTTTGTTTTAGTATAGCATTTTTTAGTTCTTGTTTTGCTTCATTGTATTCGCTTTTGGCCTGTTCTTTATCGCCTGCAGTTGCATTGTTTCTTACGTTAAGTCGCGTCATCTTTCGTCTACATCTTATACAGATTTTTCTTTTTTCTGAAATATCTGAGGTCCACCAGTATTTAGGAGAATGACGTTTTGTAGGTGCTATCTTACTAAATGTTTTGTTGCAGATTACTGAGACTTTTTCCACTAGCTTCTCTGCTGCCTCGTTTGCCATTTCTTCAGTAAGTTCTAAACTTTGGGCCATTTGTATTAGTTTTTCGACTCCTGTTGAGTTAATTTTCCATCTATTTGCAGCTTCTGTTTTACCTGGGATCCTTGTGTCTCTAACTTCGAACTTTATTGTCCGGTGGTTACTCATGTTCTCCTCATCTGTATGTACTTTCCAATTCTTTACGTATTGACAAGTATTTAGCGTTGCGAGTGTCACATCGATTATGGAGCTACCGTTCGCATTCTGAAAAGTCGGAGTATTTCCTTCATTGATAATCACGAGTCCATTTGTTTCTATGAATTCTTCTAGCGGTTGACTTCTCGCATTTGTTACTCGTGATCCCCAAGCCATTGATTTAGTATTAAAATCCCCTGAAATTATCTTTTCTTTATCTCTTACGGTGTCTAAATGAGTTTGGAAGGTATTAAGGTATTCTTCAAATTCTTCTAGTGGCTTGTTTGGTGAAAAATAGCAGGAATATACATTTATTTTTTCCAGTTCCAGTCCAATAAATCCTTGACCTTCATGTATTTTGTAGATTTTTATATCTTTGTTTAAAATTATAAAGCAGTCATTTTTCTTATCGCAAAATATTTTATTTGTTCTCTTGCTGTTCGGTTCTTGTCCCAAGACTATGTCTATTTTATCTTCGTACATTGCTTGCTCTAGAAGGTCGTGGGCGCTGCTATGTCTATCTACATTTATCTGTACGAATTTGATTGTTTTTTTATTTGTTTTACTGTTCCAAGCCATTTTGGGGATTTGAAAATACATCGTTCTCAATTGCTTGTTGTGGATGATTTTTATTTTTTGTACATTTACGGTTTCCCGTTTGGTGTCCCTCTTGTTTGCAATTTATACAATATGCTTTATTTTGACATTCATTTGCCTTGTGTCCCTCTTTGGAGCATTTCATGCAGCTATTTTCTCTGTCTTGTCCAGTGCATTTCTCTCTTGTATGTCCATACTCCCAGCAACGGTAGCATTTCAATTCTTTTTTTCTCTCCTCAATCCGACATTGTGTCCAACCTACTTTCAGCTTCCGTTCCCGATTTAGTTTATTTGCGCCTTCTTCTGTTATGACCACTGTTGCATTTTGTAAGCCACTGTGCGAGGGTCTTAGTGCTCTTACTTCAAAACTACCTGGGTTTACGTTTATTTGACTGGCTATCGCTTCCCTAATTTCTTCTATAGTTATTGTCTCATCTAGGTCTCTAATGTGAAGGATCTTTTTATTTAGCAATAGGGATGTCTTAGTTTGTGGGAGCTCCTCTTTAATTTTTTTTTCTAATATTTCTGTTTTATCGAATCCGTTTTCGACAGTTAGTAGTAGATCTCCATTTCTTGTTTTCTTGATTTCTTTAACTTGCACTCCAAGATCATCTGGGTTTATTTTTTGTTTTACCGTTTTCAAGAGTTCGGCGTATGTCTGTTCACCTGACTTGACCAGAATAGCTTCTTTTCTAGATTTTCTTGGTTTTTCAGTTAGATTTTCTCCTAGCGTGCTCCTTCTGTTTCGTTTTAATGGAATAACTTCCTTACATACAACTATTTCAATACTTGTATCTACAAATAGGTATTCTAGCATTCTTTTAAGAATTTCTCCCTCCACTCCCTCGAGTTCTGGTACCGCGATCTTTTCTTTGCCTTCTCTTTGTAACAGGTTTCTTACTTCCTTTATAGTTTGAAACAGAGTCAGATGGTCTAGTTCTCTGGTGGCTTCTTCAACTATAGGGTAATAAAGGTTTCTAAAATTAAAGTTAAAATGTCCTCCTTCATCTGGAAAGCCTAATGAGTATGTCATTCTGGCTATTTCACCTGTAGTTTTGTTTTGTGTCTTTAAGCCGGTCTTACCTCCGAACCTATCTAAAGCTGTAGCAATATACTTATGTTTCGACCCAAAGTTTACATTACATGGAATTATAACGCTGTATTCATTCGGTACATCCCATATCGGCTTTTTGATTTCTTTCAGTCTCGTAAAGATTTCTTCTCCCCAATCTTCCTCTGTAACTTGTTCAAACGATTCGAGACTTTCGTTGAGCTTCAGTACTTTTCTCCTGTTCTTTTTTCTGTCTGCCTCTTTGCATGCCTCGCATTTTTCTTCCTGGTTCACGGACTTATTCGTTGTTATTTCAGTGAGACATAACAGCTTTTCTTTTAGGTTTTCCAACTGCATTTTTAAATCCTGATTCTCGATGCGTAGTCTCTTCTCAATATCTGTTGTTTCTTTTTTCGTATTTTCTATTCCCGATTCTCTTCTTTCCTTTCTAATTTTTTGAGCACAGTGAGTTAGTCTGAATGTGATGTCGGTAAGTTCCTTTTTTGGTTTGTATGTACTTCCAACGAGCTTCTCTAGTTGTCCTATTACCTTTAATGCTTTGTCCACGTTTTCTTCGTATTTACTTCCTTTAATCTCACACTGTTTTTCTACATTCTGTGTTGTTAGTTCGATTCTTTTTCGTTTTGTTTGTTGCTCTGGGGTATCTTCTTTTGTCTCCGGCTCTTTAATTGATTCGTCATTTGCCTTTGTTCCCTTAGTAGGAGTGCGATTTATTGAGTCTCTTCTTGAAAACGGATTGATGTCCATTTCCGTGATTGTTATTCCAGTAATAGGGCCACTCTTCTCGTCCTGGTTTGCCAACGAGGAAGAATCACAATTATTTGCTCCAGTAATATTTATACTCCTTTCGACCTGGGGGTCCATCGAAGAGGAGCCGCAGTAGCTGGCTGACGGTCCAGTGGGGCCTGCTTCAACACCCTCCACCTGAACCGGTACTGGGGTTCCTAATCCCTGCACCGTAAATACTTCTTCATTCGTATCCATAATTTCATAATTTTTTGTCAATCTGGTTTTCTGTAGGGGTTTTCCATCCCTTAGCCGACGTGTCCCCGTTTTGTGGCGCCGGGAATTCGCCATTCGCCCTCCAATTTCATGGTCGGACTTGCCGGTGTGCTTTTGTTAGCGAGGCGGATGTTCTTGAACTGGTATTTGTTAGTGTCACCTAGTCGGCATCAGTGACTCCACCAGTGCCCAGCCGGCCATTTTGAGCTGTTTCTCGGCTTCACTACCCATTCCCGTCCCGTTGGGCTCGAGAACAGGGAGCTACTAAGCCACTCCACCACGGCAAGGTCTTACAGCTCCTAGGAGTGGATCTATCTATCTATCTATCTATCTATCTATCTATCTATCTATCTATCTATCTATCTATCTATCTATCTATCTATCTATCTATCTATCTATCTATCTATCTATCTATCTATCTATCTATCTATCTATCTATCTATCTATCTATCTATCTATCTATCTATCTATCTATCTATCTATCTATCTATCTATCTATCTATCTATCTAATCTATCTATCTATGTGAAGTATTATGTTGTTTTGCTGCTTAGCCATTTCATCTATTACATACCTATCATAATGTTTATGTTGCTCACCAAGTTTTAAAAGTTGGATCTTAAGCATTTGGTAGTCGAATTCAATTTTTTCCCTTATAGCCATTTTTAAATATCACCAGTAGTTGTGATTGGCCAGTTCTGGACGGGAGGTAATGAGAGGTAATTAGTAATTATCATAAGTACCCACCCCCACCCTTCGCGCAATTAGCAAGTACCTCCCAATAAGCGTAATTGCATAGTGTAATTGCATAGTGTAATTGCATAGTGTAATTGCATAGTGTAATTGCATAGTGTAATTGCATAGTGTAATAAGTGTAATTACTTCATACGCATATAGATATAAGTATTTACTATGTATATCGAGTAGCGTGTAACGAGCATAGTAAGTACCTCTTAAATAGTAATTGCTATGTATATCATATAGTGCATTGATCTGGCAACCTAGGGATACGACATACGTAATCGGAAAGTGGCACCGGTCCGCCATTACTGTGAGTGCAAATTGTCAAATTTTATAGGTTATATTTTAGTGTCATTTGTGTTAATAAATTTGAATTTAATTTGTATTTGAGCAAATTTTGAGTGTTACAAACTTATAAAGTTTATAATGCCTTGTTGTGTTATATGTTCCTGGTCTAGCGATAGTCGTTTTTGTAAAAAATCGACTGGAATAACGTTTCTTAGGTTAGTATCAAAATTATAAATATTATACAGGACAGTATTATGACATGTTTGTATAAAATGTGTAAAAGTATGCTTTTAAAAATGCAAAAAATATCATCTATCAACTTTTGGGCCTACCTACATTGGAACAATACTTTTTCATATGAAATAATATTTATAGATTTCCAGAAAATCCTGGACAACGTAGCGCGTGGATATTTGGTCAACAGGCATAATTGGGAACCTTCTAAATTCAGCTGTATATGTTCCAAGCATTTTCTTGAGAAGTACATTAATTGTACGCCATTTCGTTTATCAAATTTAGAGGCATTTTATTTTCTTATTTCTATTTAAATATAACCTACATTTGCTGCTTCCACCAGTTTTATTTATATTAGTTCTGCAGCTGATTGAAAAGTAGAGCTTCATGTTTTGTGTATGCATGAGTATTGTTTGTTTTATTATAGTTAATTTAAAACAATATTAATAGATCTTTTTAATTGCCTATAATTTGTTTCAGATTAGTGCATTTAAAGGAATTGGTGAAAATGAAGCGATTCGCTAACTTTGGGGATGTTCCAGTAAAAGTGACATCGAAATTATTCATCGTTTCCAGAATAAAGTATTAAGGTTGATGTACCCTTATACTGCCACAATACTGATCTTCATAGGGACCTTAAAGTTGAGACTGTTGAAAATACAATACAAAAATTTGCCAGTAGGTAGTCACCAACAACGACTGCTCCAACATGGAAACCTCGAGTTTATCCAACTCCTCAACAATGCCAATCTAATAAGAAGACTCAAGAGAACCAAGCCTTTTAAGTTAGTTATGTGATGTTAAAGCAGAGTATAGTGCAGTTAAGTGATTTAGACTCTAAGGTATACTAGAGACTAGAATATCAGTTTGTGAAGTTGTTCATTCCTTGATAAGTTAGAATAAAATTTCTAATTGATCTTTAATGATTAGATTGTAATAATCATAAATGTTTCTTTAGTTGGGGCATTTATTAAAAAAAAACTATTTGGTTCAGATTAGTGTATTTAAAGGACTTTATGGAAATTAAGTGATTTGCCTTTATATTTTATGAAACAATGTTTAAAAATTATTTATTTGTTTGTTTGTTTTAAGAATCAATGTTTGAGTTTTGTGTATTTTAAATAGACATGTGTATTTATAAATGTCTTTTTTTTAGTCTAATAATATTTTAGAAAAAAAAGCTAGAATACATTTCTGAAATATTACCATTTAATATCTCTAAAAGATTTCAAATTTTTATTTCAGAAATATTACAGGATATTTTTACGTTTCAGGCACATTTCAGAAATGTTTCTGGGTTGTTTCGTAATATTTATACAATTCAAATATTTCAATGTAATATTTTTGAAATATTTCCGAAATGTGTGTGCTGTATGGGAAAGTCCTCAAGAATAAATTAAAATCGAAAAACGCATTAAGATGATGCTTCTCATTCTTTTATTCCTAGAGTGATAATATCTGCTAATTGACTTAACATATCTCTCTCCCACAGAATTTAGTAGTTATATTTAGATTTTTCATTAATTATTATTAATAATTTAATAACTGTAATATGTATTATTGTATTGTTTTAATAGGCTCTGGCCCATACATAAATCATATACCTCCATTCAAAAATAAAAAAGTATTTTCTGTTGTACGAATTTGAACACTAATAAATACTTTCAAGTCAGTTAATAAATAGTTTTTAAAACACTTGTAACATTTAAACATTACAAATTCATAATTATATTTAATTTTGTTCATATTAAAATGTTATTGACCTGTTTATTTAGTAATAATACCACAAGTGCTATTAATATAAGCAAAAAACACGAAATTATATAAAGAATAAAAATCAAACAAAAACTCATTTCTTCAATAATTTTCGCTTAACTATTTTATCTAAAAAAATTCATCACACTAATTTTTGATCAATTTAAATTAATCTGACATTTGTTGTCACTGTTGAAAACCTACCAACTATTGCTGCATCTGAATATCCACATCTGATGCATTTTTTATGTCTCAAGCATTTGTTTATCCACATTGGACACATCTACTACATCTGCGTTTGTTTATCCGAGATGTAGCTGTCTAGATTACATCTCTAAAATGATCAGTTACATATACAGGATGTTGCAAGACGCACTATACAAACTTAAATATCACATTTTCAAAACTTTTAGTTGTTTATCAACAATAATTATAAACGTCAGTTGGCTACTCAGTACTACACTCGACCATTCACTGTTGGGTTCTAATTAAGAGTACTGTTCCTGAAGTGGCGCTGGGAAACAGTAACAAAGCCTACCCAGAACACACATGATTGAGAATTTAAACACAAGCTTGAGACTGGCATATTAGGTATATACACCTAGGCCATAAATCGAAAAAAAAAAAATAACATCAATACTCACTTAGTCTTTTTTTAATGATACTAGCAACAAAATCATAACCGTTTGTTTAGTATTAAAAATAAATATCACTCATAGATATGGATAAGAAAATATTAAAACTTTATTCTTTGTACACTTTTATTTAATCACAGCACACATTATTTGCATTTACAATATTTGCTTGACTTTTATATGCCCCATTATGTTTTGTTCACCTTTTCTAGTGGCCTTTTCCTGCTAAACTTTGGTCACTATTCTACCTCCAGGTAATGAATTATTCAACCATATAATCAACAACGAGGTTTTACTTATTTTACAGTAAGTTACTTATCTTTAATGTACAAGTTATAGAATTTGAACTTGGCTTAGGCCATTTTCATTAATTTTGTTCTTAGAGCTTTTGAAAAAACCACTTGGGAAGTACTCTCACAAATTTATTTCTTATTTTGCCTAGCGAAGAACTATAATTGAGACTTTAACTTTATCTTCACATTCTTTGTCTGACTTTCAATCATACATGCATGATTATTGTGCATAGACCAATTAAATTGGACAGGCACTCTTGTGGTGATGTTGTTACTATGGGAGGCCTTTACATAAGTAGTCATAATCTCTGCAGATGGTGAGAAGCCCAGCTCAAACCAACCACCATATTATCGTCACTGGATCTATAAGTCTCTGGTAAGATCACTTAATATTTTACATTTGTTAGAAGTGCACCTGTGTACCTACCTGCACACCGCTGGTTGTGGCTTCGCTGATTTACTGAATGTCTTGCATGAACTGCATGAAGATACACATCTTTCAGTCTGAATCTACAAGAGTACAAGACCAAGTAAAATTAATCCACATTTTGATTTCCTGAATAGTGCATCTACCTACACAGATATTGTTTATTAGCCATTTTCCTCGAGCCTTTTAGTGTATGAACATTTGTTCTTAATTTTGAGGAAGCTGTTAATTAAAAGGTCTGTTCGGGTTCTTCAAAAATACCTTTAGAACTATCAGAGAACTAGTTGACCAGTGGACAGTTTAATAGTTGTACGCGACGAATAATTTGGAATTCAACTGTTCCACTGGTTCTCGGACGGTTTGCATCGAGTTTTAAAGAAACCCGAACAAACCTATTGTAAGGTTAGATTACTTGACATTTGCGACCTTGTACTTTCCGATTTAAAGATAGAAACAGAAAGCATTGGGCTACGTATGTGCCCTAGTGAAAAAGTGTGACGACTGATCCAATAAATCGAATTCGCTTTATTTTTGCCGCTTATGTGAACCAAAAATGTGCTATTCATATTTTCTGTGAATGATTTCAACGCTTTAGGATTATTTCCACCAT